GGAGCAGCGTGGAGGTTGGTGGCCGGGAAGCCCCTTCCTCTGGACAAGGAGCAGTGGGATGGTGGCTCAGAAGCCCCTACCTCTGGGCCAGGAACAGCGGGACTCAGTACCTTGGTCTGGTGGTCTGGTGTCCTCTGTGTCTTTGTAGTGTGGAACCAGGTGGCTGCAGGGTGATTCGGTGTCTTCCGTGCAACTCAGGACCTCGGTAGGGCATGCACAGACCTTCCTGTGTGCAGTGGGCTGATTCGGTGTGTTCTCACAAGTAATGTTTTACTGTTTATACCTTTTTACACCTTGTTTTCTTCACGTGTTCTAGTTGTTTTTCTGTATGCACACATATAGACCTGTTTCATTCTTTTCTGACAGTTACAGAATATTCCATTTTCTGACTTCATAGAATTGATTTAATTAGTTGCCAATTTCGTGTATTTTTTTCCATTTTAAAAACTCTCTGGGTGTCTGTAATAGTATGTCTGTGTCTTTGAGCATTTAAGACCCTATCTGTAGAAATTTCTAGAGCTGCAATTTTTGAGTTTAGAGATAAGTACATTTGAATCTTGATAGAAACCACACCTGAATCAGCAGTGTCTATATGAGTACATACTCAACTGCTTTAAATGTTACGGGTCTGCAGAAGCTAGCCAGGCCTAGATCTGTCAGGCCTCTCAGTGCCTTCCTGGCCCCTCGTACCATCTTCTTGTCATCACTGATTTCTGTGTCCCTTGCTCTTGCCGCCTGTTTGCTGTCTTTCTAGTCTCATGATCCAGCGCTTCTCTACCTTTCAGAAAATAAGTTCATTCATTGGGTAAAATTGTATTCACTGTACTTTCTCTGATCTTTTAAAAGAAAGTTGGTCAAAGCACTCCTTAGGCATCATATATTCTTAATTTAGCCAGTCTCTTTCTCTGTGGTTTACCTCTGGATTCTTTCTGTTCTCCCTGGCAGTTCTTAAGTCATTGCTTTGTTTCTCTGGAGGGACCAAATTGAGACAGAATCAAGACATTCCTGTTTTTCCTAAAAAGGAACCTGAATCGATCCGAATTCTGTCTTTTTAAAGAAGTTGTTTCTAATACAGTCATTGCCTTTGCCTTCATCAGTAAAAAGAGCACTAACCGAGGTCTGGTACTGTCACACCGTGTCAGTGTAACTGCAGTCAGATCTCTCCGCTTCCCTGAACTTCCACTTTGGCTTCCTACAAAAGCTGACATTGATACCTGCTTAGACTTGCCTTGAGGATTAAGTGAGATAAGAAAAAGCAGGAGGAATACCTGGAATGTAGTAAAGTTTAGATAAATATGTGTTGGATCTTACGTTGTTGAATATAGAACAGATACTGGTTGAACATATGTTATTGCTTCTTTTTCAACAGTTATCTCATGTCTTGCAGGTGCTGCTTACAGCTGATAGCAGATAGGCCCACTGCCATTCAAGAGGAGCTCGACCTAATCCAGGCTCTTGGGTGTCTGGAAGAGTTTGGGGTAAAGATCCTGCCTTTGCAAGGTGAGTTTTCTGCTTAGCATTTCATTGTTAGTAACTTATTTGTAGCATTTTAAGCAAGTATATATAAGGTGACTTAAATCACTAGAAAATTAGTCATACCACTCAGTTTTGGACCTCAAATCTTATAAAAATTATGAAGATCATTCAGAGTGATTAAAAAGCATTTGCAGTTATTCTAAACCTGAGCTTATTCTAATGTTCCCCATCAAACATTTATTTCACTGTACTTTTTAATCACAGAACAATCTGGAGCACAGTGTAACTTTAGGTCTACCTTATCTCTTGTTAAGTTAAATCATCACAGCTTTGACTTTGTGGGTGTGTGTGCATGTGTATGCATTTTAGCTCTTGATACACAGCATGGTTGAAAATATGGTGAATGTTTAAATTTTTAAAAATTTTATTACAGTAAAAGACACATTGCCATGAGTCCCCCTCAAAATCCTCCCGTCACTTTGAACACACTCATCCCATTGTCCTTGCCACTACCTGCAGCAGCTCTGGAGTCCTCTTTCCTGAGGGTCTTTAACTGCACTGTCCTGGCTGCCTCACTGTCCTGGATGGATTCAAAACATCTCCTTTCCATGATCATTTTGACTTTGGGGAAGAGCCAGAAGTTAGTCACATAGTGCTATAAATAAGGTGGACGAGACATAGCGTCATGTTTTTTTGTTGTTGTTGATGGCCTTAACATTAGGATAATCGTGACATCATTTCATGATGCCCCCAGTTACAGGTATTTCTGTGTCTTTTTCTTGTAGTACGATTGTGCACTGACCGGATCAGCCTCATAAAGGAATGTATTTCCCGGTCCCCTACGTGCTACAAACAGTCTGCCAAGCTTCTTGGCCTTGCTGAGTTGCTAAGGGTTGCAGGTAAGGCTTTTGAATGCTAAGCTGCAGGATCAGTGTCTCTGTCACTCCTGACATCATCCTAACCAAACACGAGAGCTCAGAAATGCATCCTTGTGCATGGGAGGATGATCTGGCTGCGACCCCTGTCACTCCATTGATCGTCAGGGATGATTCAGCTGATCTGGCTGGCTAGGTGGTTGTTTCCTTCCTCCCTCACTGCTCCATGTGCATCCCTCCTGAAGCTGCACCTGCTGTTGAAGAGGACGACCACCCCCGATAGAGGGGGACCATTTCCTGGTGTATGAGTAGCTGTGTTCCCCTGCTAGAACCTCCAAGCAAGCTCTCAAGAAATGCGTCCTTTGGGCCAGGGTTTGTGTTCCCTGGACAGAATGGCATGTTCTAATGATGTGATCTGGGCCGTATTTCTGGGATGAAGGATATTTGCCAAAACCATGGCGTGGAGGACCCCCCCAGGGCTGGGGCCTGGCAGGCTCAAAGGAGCCCACCTAGCATTTATTCAAGGAGTTGGTCTTTGTCACCACTCTGGACCACACTTAATTCCCAGTTTCTAAATACCAATTGGATCTTTAAGATGAGAACTATTGCATTGTGTATTACGTTCATCCACTTACTTCATCTATGAACCCTTTTATAACTTTTCTTTTAAAGCATGGGTTTATTCTGTTTCTCTTACCTTACTAATATCAAGACCTCTCTGATGGCCATAGTCTACTCTGTTTTTGGATTTTTAGATTTGCGTATTTTAATTAGGAACTGATATTAATCATTGATCTCTTCAGAGCCTGAGGTTACTTCCATGGACAGTAGGTAGGTTGAAACGTCAGAGTTGCTGTTAACCTCTTGCCCTCTAAACCTTTAAAATCAGTCTATTCCATGTGTTTTATTTTTTAATTAATTTTAAACTCGCTGCTAATGAGCTCTTTTATCAGTTGCTGATGCCACAAGGATTAAGCGTTGCCTATGTTTGTAGATGAAGACCTGGAAGAACGACGTGGGCAGGTTCTGATCCTGTTAGTAGAGCAGGCCCTTCGCCTCCATGACTACAAAGCAGCCAACGTGCACTGTCAGGAGTTGATGGCCACAGGTGAGCTGCACCTGCTGAGCACCTTGCTGGTGTCCTGTGTGCATCTGAGTAATGAAAAGGTGGGTTCTGAAACAGCTGGCTTGACTGCAGGCGCAGCCGCATTTCTGCTCGAGACACACTTTCTCAGCCTGACAAGTATGTATGCGGGGTGCTTAGACATTAATACTGTAATGGGCCCAGCCATTCTATTTTATTATTTGTTTATTTGTTTTTGCTTAAATTCTTCTATTGGTACATTTTAGGTATACAATACATTTACATTTTTCATTGGGTGCTTGTACCTGTACATAATGTATCTTGGTTCTAATTTTTTCCCCATTCCCTGTGCGCCCTTCCCTATTTACAAAGACTTTGTTTCCATTATTTCCTTTTCTGATAATTTTTCCTTTCCCTTCTTTCCTTTCCCCTTCCCCTCACATCACCCCTACCCCTTTGGACCTTTTCTTCCTATTTCAAATTATCAGTTATTCATTTTAATCATTTTTATCCTTATTTACACTTTCAGTTTCTCACACTAGAGAAACTATTCGGTATTTACACATGTGTGTCCTATTTATTTCACTT